CGATGCGTTCACAGGCAGATGATGCCGGCGGCTCGGCATTCCGCTGCCGAACGGCCGGCGGGCTTCGTCGTTGCTAGGCGTCGGAGGCACGTCTTCGTCTGCGAACTCGCGCGGGCCAGTCGGAGCGGCGTCAATAGTCAGTGGCAGAACTGCACGGACGGGCCGGTGACGGCGGAGGAAGCCGATAAGTCCATCTAAATCACAGGGCCCTGTAGGCACGCTGACGGCCAGGATGGCAGGAGGGCCTGAAGACGTCGGAGCGGTGCGTGGAACCGTCAGCAACAGAGCTCAAAATGTCCCTGACCGGGCTTGGCAAGGGGAAGGATTCGCAAGCGGTCCAGATGCGCTTTGGGAAATTACACGGTGTGGAGGCTCCTGCCTGGGATTCCGTTCAGGTTTACCGGACATTGGGTAGTTCGTGATCTTGTGTAGTTGCCGTCGTGGATCTCGGACCGTTCAACATTTGGGGAAAATGAGAAAACGAGGTCAAGCGCAATGGTGGCGTTCATTTCAACCGGACTTGACTTTGTTTGAATATTATCCTGAATAGCTCCGATGTATTCATAAAACGGTTGGTAGGGTGACGAAGGTGGTTGGCCCATTTCGGAAGTCCATCACCCTCGCGGGGAGCCTCGGAGATCTCAGGGAACCCATGACACGCTGGGCTTACTGGCTCTCTCAGACATGCCTCATACGCCAAATAAGGCCCATAAACCATTTTGATTAATCGTAGCATAGTTATCGCCCAGGACGTCGCGAGCGGTCTTCCACCCACCACAGCCCGCGCGGACCGTTTCAACAGTTCGCTGAAGCCATGATTATCTCGGGCATCCGTACCTTCTTCCGGGTTCGTTACTGCTGTCGAGGGCTGTTCACTGTCTCGAAGATGATGACGAGGGTTTGAGATCCAGGTCGTTTGCCCCCTCCCCCCCCGGATTGTCCCATGGATTTACTTTTGAGGAGCTCACCAGCTCTAGGCTCCTCAAGTCTGAGAGAATCCTGCTCGTATGGTGTTTTGCGCCGACGCCGGCTTTCGCATAGCACGAGTGTTGCACAGCGTGAAGCTCTCCTGAAGCTTCGCACAGTTCAGAGAAAAAGTAGCTCAGCTGTCTTGTTTGACAACCGTCAGGATGGTTTTTCTCAACCTTTCCCGACTCTAGAGGAGTGGGTGCTTAGTATCGACCCACCTCCGTATCGCTCAGACGGAGTGCGTTTACTGGTAACCCACCTCTGTATAGCTCGGGTGAGCGTGCATCCGTGTCGCTCAGATGGAGTGCGTTTACTAATAACCCACCTCTGTATAGCTCGGGTGAGCGTGCATCCGTTGTCGCCTCAGATGGAGTGCGTTTACTAATAACCCACCTCTGTATAGCTCGGGTGAGCGTGCATCCGTGTCGCTCAGATGGAGTGCGTTTACTGATAACCCACCTCTGTATAGCTCGGGTGAGCGTGCATCCGTGTCGCTCAGATGGAGTGCGTTTACTGATAACCCACCTCTGTATAGCTCGGGTGAGCGTGCATCCGTATCGCTCAGACGGAGTGCGTTTACTAATAACCCACCTCTGTATAGCTCTGGTGAGCGTGCATCCGTGTCGCTCAGATGGAGTGCGTTTGCTGATAACCCACCTCTGTATGGCTCAGGTGGGCGTGCATCCGTGTCGCCCAGACGAAGTGCGTTGACTGATAACCCACCTCTGTATAGCTCGGGTGAGCGTGCATCCGTGTCGCTCAGACGAAGTGCGTTGACTGATAACCCAGCTCTGTATAGCTCGGGTGAGCGTGCGTCCGTGTGGCTCAGACGGAGTGCGTCTACTGGTAACCCACCTCTGTATGGCTCAGGTGGGCGTGCATCCGTATCGCTCAGATGGAGTGTGTTTGCTGATAACCCACCTCTGTATAGCTTGGGTGAGCGTGCGTCCGTATCACCCAGACGGAGTGCGTTGACTGATAACCCACCTCCGTATAGCTCGGGTGAGCGTGCATCCGTGTCGCTCAGTCGGAGTGCGTTTACTGATAACCCACCTCTGTATAGCTCGGGTGAACGTGCGTCCGTGTCGCTCAGACGGAGTGCGTTGACTGATAACCCACCTCTGTATAGCTCGGGTGGGCGTGCATCCGCATCGCTCAGATGGAGTGCGTTTACTGATAACCCACCTCTGTATAGCTCGGGTGGGCGTGCATCCGTGTCGCTCAGACGGAGTGCGTTTACTAATAACCCACCTCTGTATAGCTCGGGTGAGCGTGCATCCGTGTCGCTCAGATGGAGTGCGTTTACTGATAACCCACCTCTGTATAGCTCGGGTGAGCGTGCATTCGTATCACCCAGACGGAGTGCGGTGACTGATAACCCACCTCTGTATAGCTCGGGTGAGCGCGCATCCGTGTCGCTCAGATGGAGTGCGTTTACTGATAACCCACCTCTGTATAGCTCGGGTGGGCGTGCATCCGTGTCGCTCAGTCGGAGTGTGTTTACTGATAACCCACCTCTGTATAGCTCGGCGTGAGCGTGCATCCGTGTCGCTCAGATGGAGTGCGTTTACTGATAACCCACCTCTGTATAGCTCGGGTGGGCGTGCATCCGTGTCGCTCAGTCGGAGTGCGTTTACTGATAACCCACCTCTGTATAGCTCGGGTGAGCGTGCATCCGTGTCGCTCAGATGGAGTGCGTTTACTGATAACCCACCTCTGTATAGCTCGGGTGGGCGTGCATCCGTGTCGCTCAGTCGGAGTGTGTTTACTGATAACCCACCTCTGTATAGCTCGGGTGAGCGTGCATCCGTGTCGCTCAGATGGAGTGCGTTTACTGATAACCCACCTCTGTATAGCTCGGGTGGGCGTGCATCCGCATCGCTCAGATGGAGTGCGTTTACTGATAACCCACCTCTGTATAGCTCGGGTGGGCGTGCATCCGTGTCGCTCAGATGGAGTGCGTTTACTGATAACCCACCTCTGTATAGCTCGGGTGGGCGTGCATCCGTGTCGCTCAGTCGGAGTGCGTTTACTGATAACCCACCTCTGTATTGGCTCAGGTGGGCGTGCATCCGTATCGCTCAGATGGAGTGTGTTTGCTGATAACCCACCTCTGTATAGCTCGGGTGAGCGTGCATCCGTATCACCCAGACGGAGTGCGTTGACTGATAACCCACCTCTGTATAGCTCGGGTGAGCGTGCATCCGTGTCGCTCAGATGGAGTGCGTTTACTGATAACCCACCTCTGTATGGCTCGGGTGAGCGTGCATCCGTATCGCTCAGACGGAGTGCGTCTACTGATAACCCACCTCTGTATAGCTCGGGTGAGCGTATGATTGGCGTCCCAGTCCTCGGTGGACCGGCCGTCCAGGCGACTCGTTGCCCCCTGGTGGCCGTTCTGTGAGTTAACCACCGTGTCCAGGATACCGTCTGCGAAAAGGCGAAAAGTACGCTGACGTCAGAATTGTGGACACACGACATTATGGGAGCCCTCTTGGCAAAACTTCAACACGCGATGACGGTCACATCTAACAAAGATAAAACCGCGACATATATGACTATATAGCTGACATGCATATCATGACTTCAGCAGGCGAAACGAGATAAACGAGTTACAAAACAGCTTACATTCGATAAGTGGAAAAACACATTTCGCCGTGTCTCATGAACTGACAAACTCTAAGTCGAGAGGACATAAAAGCTCATGAACAAGGAATATTATCTACCTAATGTCCAACCGTTACACGAAGAGCACGGACGGGGTTGAACTGATCAGCATGATCATCTTATCATTCATTGGGATCGATCCAAGCGGTGCTAACGGAATAATCTAATCCCAGTCTGGTATCCTGGCAACAGAATTGCATAAGTACAAGTGCTCGGCTCGCGCTGTGACCTTGAATCCACAGGCTGCTGACCATCAGGTGAGCCCAGCAGTGCCTCATCACGAGCCCGTATCACATGCCGGACACGCGGACCCAGTCTACGGACGTGCTGAGTAGCGCACCAAGGTCCCACCGACATGGACGGCCACAGGTGCTCCCAAGGCCCCATCAACGGGCATGAACGGCCACAGGCGCACCCAAAGTCCACCAACGGGCATGGACGGCCACAGGCGCACCCAAAGTCCACCAACGGCATGGATGGCCACAGGCGCACCCAAGGACCCACAAACGGGCGCATGGACGGCCACAGGAGTGTGTTTTACGCAATCACCAATGCTTGATTTAGCACTTCAGCGTTGACTGGGTTTGATGCCACAGACAGCTCGAGGTGAGGAAGACTGGGCTTGATGCCACAGACAACTCGAGGTGAGGATGACTGGGTTTGATGCCACAGACAGCTCGAGGTGAGGAAGACTGGGTTTGATGTCACAGACAGCTCGAGGTGAGGAAGACCGGGTTTGATGCCGCAGACAGCTCGAGGTGCCAAAGAGTGCTGGCCTCGGCTCCAACATTGCCTTACTCGTCGTGAAGTCGGCGTTCACAGAGAGACATTACACCAATAGATGGGTTGAAACGATACCCTGAGTACGACCTGAGGTGGCTCCTGTAACTCGGGAAAGGAAGATAATTTTAAGAAGCAATAATAAAAACTTGCTTTTCGACAAAGTAACAAGGTCATCGTCATCAACGCGGTGAGCGCTAAAGCGCACGGTGGGCGCACGGCGACGGTCGCCGTGCTAAGGACCTGCGCTTCAGGAAGACAAGGGTAAGGTATCCATGTTGGCGCCCTGGCGACCACGAAGTCGGGTTTACCAGGTAGCGGGGAAGCAAAGTGACCTAGATAGGGTCTCTTTCTAAAAGCCTTTCCGACATGTCGGCGCGCCTTTGCCAGCGTTGTTTCGAATAGCTGTTTGATGTGATCTGTTAAACCATTCAGATCACGTGCATAATTCCCGGAGGAACGTAAAAAGGACACGCGCTTAAAAAGCTCGCCATAGACATGAAATATAAAATCATCAGTGCCTCTCGCCGAGTACGCTAACGCCAAAGCCCCCAACCTCACCACTTCTACTGATTGCGGTCTTCCGCGCACACAAATGCACCACAATATCAATCTGCAGAATGCGGGCGCTTCGAGAAACCCCGTTTTAAATCACTGAAGCCCAGCAACAACAACTCATATTTTAAACTCCGCTCAGCGGAATTGATACGCGCACTCTGACGAATCGACTTGTTTGGCTGGCGGGTCGGGAGCGGCGCCACAGCCTCGAGCCGCCGCGCCTTCGACTCAGCCCCGACAAACGGCCGCACCAAATATACAGCGGGCGGCGCGAAGGGGCGCGCGCCGGCGCCGGCCTCGCCCCACCGGCGGCGGAGAGGGCGGGCCGTGGCCGGCTGACGTGGGATGGTGGGGTGACAGGTGTGCACGGGTACTTCGAGGGCACAGAGCCGCGCGGTGGAACCCGGCCGCCCATCAGTGGAGGCGGTTTTATTACTCTTGGGCTTGCTCTATGTCGTAGCTTCTGGTGCTCGTTTTGATTTGATTGATAATAGTAACTGCATAATACATCTTCCATGGACTTCTGAAAGGTCAGAATAGGTTGCTGACCTAAAATGCCCCGAGTCAACGTTTTGTTTATAGGAACATTCTGCCTAGAGTAATCTTTGTCGGTTATCCAAATGCAAAACCCAAAGCAGCCTTTTATAAATTCGGTCTCCATGATCTTCTTAAGGTCAAACAAGGTCACTGGCCTGAAATGAGCGCGTGAAATTTTGCTTAGAACGGATAGCTTGGTTCCGGGAACGATTTGCAGACCAACCTGGGGTCTGACCTCGTGTGACCTTATTTGACCCAAATGTCATAACTTAAGAACCTCAAGCTTTGACCTGGGAGAGTTTAGCACAGTCCAACACACCCTGCAAATTTGGTGTCTCCAGCTCTCTTAGCGCCTGAGATCTCAGGCGGTGAAAGTGACCCACCATCCGAGCGAAGGGTATCCCACCGGCCACCTGGGCGCGTATAAATCAGCGATGATGAGGGAGGAAATCTCAATGTATGTAGTCTAGTGGCCACCACTTGCTTTCACTCTAACGTGAGGCGACATAAGACAGCTACAAATTGCCTTCTTTTGCTTGCGTCTGTGATGCAACAGCTACCTCCATCGTATGGTTCCAAACATCTGGCAGCCAGTTTTGACACATTACCCACAGGCTGTACAAGGTAAAAAAAGATCCGAGATCGCGTCGTTAGAGGGCTGCTGAAGCTACAGACATGCCTGGTAGACTACCCGCAATACGTCATATAAGCCTGTTATACCGAGAACATGCGCATACCACAGGAGCAACACATGCGTCCCAAGCTTAATTATAGCGCAAAAGCACAGCATGTGGGTGCAGGGTTTCCTGTTCAGTGCAGGGTTTTCCCTTTCCCCTCCCCCACCCCAACGAAACCCCAGCTGCAATGTCTCACATTAAGTCGAGGCTCCAGAAGGATCTCAAAAACAGAAGGCACTAGAACTAACTTCTCCCAAGGGAGTGCCCTTACTTCGTACGCTTTCTTTTGACCACATGCTGGCCCACCGTTATTGATGGCATCAACGACAGCAGCAAGCGGCAAGCGCCACACGATCGCAGCGAGTTTTTTGGCTCATTTTTCAACTGATTCAGTCGAATGCCAACTCCGCTTCAGCCTTCAGCCCAGTGTTTAAGAAACGCCGCGTGCATCCCCCCCCCCCACACCCAATTTGATATACAGGCCTCACTCCACAGTAGTCTCCACCGTTCTCCAGTCAGTTAATCTCAGGATGCGCCGTTCCACTCTCCGGCCCGCCCCTTTCCGCCGCCGTTCCTCCCGTCCCTTACTCCTCCCACCCTCTCCCTTCCCTACCCCTCTGTCCTCCACACGTCGCTCGTCTGCAGCCCGCCGCCGTCGATCGAAGGTCGAGCCGGCGAAACGATCGCCGGAATTGATCGTCCTCTTAGCGGCGCGGCGATGGACCATTCCGGCAGCGGCGGCCGGCCCGCTCGCTCCCCTGACGTAATGGCGGGCCCTCTGTTAGTCCACAGTCAGCGCGGCCCTGTCACCAGCCGCGGCCGACCCGCTCGCTTCCTTCACGTCATGGCGGGCCTCCTCCTACTCCACAGCCAGCGCTGCCCGGCGCGGCCCTGCCACCAGTCGGCGGCCGGGCCCCCGCTCGCTTCCCTGACATCACGGCGGGCCTCCTGTTACCTCCACAGTCAGCGCGGCCCGGCGTGGCCCTCTTCACCAGCGGCGGCCGGCACGGCTCGCTTCCCTGACATCACGGGCGGGCCTCCTGTTACTCCACAGTCAGGCCTGCGGTCCGGCGCGGCCCTGTCACCAGCGGCTGGCCGGCCCGCTCGCTTCCATGACATCACCGGCGGGCCTCCTTGTTACATCCACAGTCAGCGCTGGTCCGGCACGGCGGCCCTGCCACCAGCGGCGGCCGGCCCGCTCGCTTCCCTGACATCACGGCGGGCCTCCTGTTACTCCACAGTCAGCGCGGTCCGGCGCGGCCCTGCCACCAGCGGCGACCGGCCCGCTCGCTTCCCTGACATCACGGCGGGCCTCCTGTTACTCCACAGTCAGCGCGGCCCGGCGCGGCCCTGCCACCGCCGGCGGCGCCCTCGTTTCGCGGCCGTCGTTCTCGCGGTAGGGGACGTGGGCGGCGGAGTCGCGAAGGCGGCGCCTGAAGGCGGACCGGCGTGACATCGTGCCGGACAGAGGCCGCACTCAACAAGACAGCGGTATGTCGATGTCCAGTAAGTGGTTGCTCCTGCCATCGCAACAGGCTCTTCCTGGCCTCAAACTCCCCCTGAACACCACGGATAGAGCTGGCAAAACTGATTAGAGCGGTCTCTGAGCGCGAAGCCTCAGCTCCAGATAGGCCGTGACCTCGGCTCAGCGGCGCCCCCGCGTGGTGACGCGACGCCACCAGGCAGACCCACCTTTGACCACGTAATGGATGAGATCCATGGCTCGCCGCATCTGGCAGAAGACGGTGTCGCGGTTGTCACGTGACCGGGGACAGTCGGGGTGGCGCAGCACCGCCTGCGGGACGCGTCGCTGTCAGAGCGCTCGTCAACGACACAGCTGCGTACAAAAACACGCAGCTCATTGCATCTATGTAATATGCATGGGCTATCAGTCTGTCCACTACAATGGCGCACACTCGGCGTCTGAACAGAGCGGTGTCGAGTTATATCTTTTCCGAGGTGTTTCGTCCTGACAATGATTTCTCGAATGCGATGTTGTGCCTTACTTGCGTTTGTTGAGATGCTTCATAAAATGAGGAAAATGAAAAATGACACACCAGGCCAAACACACCTTTGACGGATATCATGCAATGGACGTGACTACTGTGCAGCTCTACTAAAGGTAATTCTTTTTCCATCATTATTTGTGATCCCACCATGGTTTCAGCTCTTGGCTAGAGCAAGAGGTTCTGTTCGGCTCCCTGTACGAGGGGCGCTGCTGTTGATGTTGGTGGCTCAACCGCCACCAACTTAACCTTGGCTCGTGTCTCGGTGCAAATGAATGGATTTGGCTACTCGATAAAGCAAACAAAATTAAGTGATTAGCTATCGTTGATAAAAATAAAATGAACTAAACTGCTTTAGACGCGCATGAATGGGCGGGGAGGTAAGATTATTCCGCCATCCCCGCCATCAAATTATTTCCTCAGCATGACGCCTCAGTCGTTAAATATGATTATTCGGCTTATCGTTATCACACCCAAGTGCCAGAAATAGAACAAAACTGATTTGTGTCCCAACAGGTCCATGTGTCAAACTTGGTAGGGAGCATCAGCGCAATCAGCACCAGGAAATGTACAAATAAACAATGTTCCGAAGACACATTGTTAGTAGCACTAGGACACGCTTGTGCCTTGCGCATTTTCCGAGCTTAAGCTGGTGGTCTGGGTACGACGGCGTATTAATCATCCTGGCGCCTTAATGGGTGAGAACCTAAGCCAACACACTGCCCGACAATGACGAACCTCCGCTGCGTAACATCACTTCGCCCCCTCCTCCCTCCGCCACCTCTGTCTACCCCACCTCCTCTAGTCCGTAATAGAGTTGGGACCGTGCAGTCACCACGTCTCGCCCCGTCACGCGCGGCCACCGCCCTTACACGGCCGGCGCCCCCCCCCCCCCGTACACGACCGGCGCCCCCTCCCTCGCACGCGGCCGGCGCCCCCCCCCCCCCTACGCGGCCGGCGCCCGCCTCCCTCCTTACACGGCCGGCGCCCCCCCCCCCGTACACGGCCGGCGCCCCCCCCCCCGCACGCGGCCGGCGACCCCCGCACGCGACCGCCCCCCCCCCCGTACGCGGCCGACGCCCCACCCCCCGCACGCACGTCACGATCGCATGGCGATGAGCCCGATCTCGGGTAATGGCAGCGGGACCTCCGCTGGTTTCCAACGGCCGCGCAGGCTTTGGCCGTGGGCGCGACGGCCGGCTGCCTGCGTCAGCACCCCCGCCCCCCCCCCCTGGACCCTATTTTCTCAGGGCGAATTTAGGCAGGTGTCAGGATCGCCGGGTGGAGTCGCAGCCTATTGTGGTAACAATCTGGGTCTGACTCTGAGTCTTTTGCCTGAGTCAGAGAAGAAATGAGCCGAGTCAATGTGCAGAAGTTGAAGCCGCTACTGAGTCAGCAAATCGTAGACTGGTGTCGACGAAAAATCGACTCATAATGTTACGGCTTTAACTATGCGCAGTCGAACCACTAGATATATCAATGCGATGGATAAAATATTATCTTGTGCAGGTTTTAAGACGCCGCACAAAAAGGCGCCTTAACTTCTACAATGCTGTCACTAAATTGCCTAAATCAGAATCAATTCCGGAGTGAAGCTGCATCTTCCTGAGTCCAAATTGGGATCAACTGAAAGTAGTGTTGAGCCTCTCGGTGTTATGAGTTGGGGTTAATATCATGCTGCGCGAGCCGTGTCCGGCATGGATTCCACTAGGACGAAACCAGACGCATGCCTGGCTCCTGCAAGCATGTTATTGATTGGTTTATGTACGCCTCACGATTTCCACGGAAAACTTCGTTTCACTAATTATTTGCAGTTATGAAAGAAAGGATGCAGACAAATGAAGTATACTTCCGGTGCATATGCACTAAGCAGCATTATGCAAGCATGGCGCTTTTTCAGATGAGAGGATGCTTAGTCCAATTTTCTGAACCGGGTGCGGTCGGCGATGGAGATACTGGCCTGATACAGCAGCGGTTCTGTGGTCCAGCTCGAGTTTAACCCAAGCGAGACAAGCGGCGGCGAGGAGCCTGACCCCATCAGCCGGAAGGTGAGGCCTGGTGGGAGCGTGCACCCAACTGACGTCAACCCCTCCCCCCCTCCATGCGCCGGCCCTCGCCGGTGGCCTCCTCCAGTCAGCCCTCCCCGGCACGGCCTGTCCGAAGCCCCGCTTCATCACTGGCTGGAAGCACATCCATCTCCGACCTGCACCTGGTGCCTGCGCGTGCCAGGCTCCCACGCTCCACGCCAGTATCACCCGGAGCGGGCGGCCCGCGGGGGCCTGACCCATCCCATTCTCTGAGGCGAGACGAGCCCGGGGCGGCCCCGCCGGCGCGCCGCCCATTCGGCCCGGTTATAGCCGTGTTGCTGCTGCCATCAGGCAGTCTTAGTGGAACAGCGCGCGGGGACACGTCAGAGACGAGCTAAAATGTGGACGAGGGCGTTAACGGTGATATGAGAGTGGCAAGTTATAGAACATTTCACGGAAGGAATTTTCAGGATGAGATCCAGTCCAGTCCGGCTGGTCCAAGTCCAATCCGTCCGCCAATCCGCTTTTCCAGATTTATTACTCTGATGCGGTGCGGTCCGCCCCACCAGCAGATTGTATCATATGGATATGCCAATCCGCTTCCACATAAGCGACTTTTAAAAATTTTAACAGCCATGTTGGTCCATCTGAGTATCTTAATTTAAGAAACTGGATGATTTTCGTACAAGTAAAGATGTGCAAGTAGCTGCTAAAAACCAGCAGATGCTAACGCACATGACAAATCTTGGTGCCTTTTAGGAATACAATTTTGCATGAAGATCAGAGCAAACAAGGCCCATCATATTATCAATCATATCACAACTCATTTGGCCCAAAATTCACAAGTACCAGCACATCGCCGAGCCAAAATCGCTTCTCGTTTCAATAACTTGAAAGAATGAACACAGTATGTGACATTTCAGACTCCACGTAAGTGTAAGACATGGCACACGCCGTTAAACAGCTTCAGCGCCACCCAGTTTACAAGCGCAGCACGACTTTCCACTAGTACGCCTTCTGCATAGCTAGAACGATCATCCCACCTCATACATGCTACTTCAGGAGTGTGTCCATTCTCACACACCAACTGTAAAACAGCCTCAACTGCGACTCATTATTTCCTGCTAGATCGCCGACTACCATAACATTATCATCCACTAGTGCCAGTCGTCTGCCTGCGGTGCCTGCTTTTTTGGTGAGTCAATGCAAGGCCTCTCTTTTCCCCAGACGGATCTAAGCCCACTTCCGATGGGGGGGGGGGATTCCCTTCCGGCTTAAGGCCAGGCAAGGATTGTGTTCAACCGGCTTGTCCTGTACGGTGCAAAGCAAGGGGGAGGGTATTTTGAAGTGCCGTTACGTTAATCTTGCTCATTTTTGTCCACCTAGATCATAGCAAGTGAAGCAGACCGCAGCAATGAATATGTTTATTTCATCACGGCACGACATGCAATCAATTCCCTTGAGCGACAAGTGAGCCTCCGGATCGGCACGTCCTCCAGACTCTTAGGGTGCCGCGTATGTTGTGTGTGGTGTCCGTGGCAGCGGCGGCCTCGGCCCAGCTGACTTGTCGCTTTATCATCCAGGATAATGAAACCGTTGCGTTATTTTTGAATCCTAATTGCCGACATGTCAGATGCTACCAAATCTCCCTTTTTGCTCATACTGGGAAAAATGTCAGAACTGTTCTATTTGCAACCGCGCATCGTACGGCTGCATGAAGTCACATTTACACAGCCAAAAAAGTCATGCATATTGACAAAAGTACGGAACAAAATTTCTACCATGTTGTTTTCGGCACGCTAAGAGAGGCATCATGACTTCTCAATAAAATAGCGCAGCGTTTTAGTCGGTGTGTAACGTCTCTCACACGCAGTGAGTGCCCTAGACACAAATAAAGAATCTTCCCACATAAAAACCGTGGTACGATAGTTAGGCACTTGTCGCTCATCATCAAACACATGTCATGACCGTTGGTGCTTTGACATCTCATATAGATACTAGCCACTTGCCGTGTGCTCTGATGGTCCCACACGCCTTTCTAAATCTTACCACATCTTTACTTGAGGCATGATTGGACAGCAATGGGTGGCATGTTCACCAACGTTAATTTCCTGACTCGGTGTAAGGTGTGCTGGAGCTTCTAAATAATTGCAGGAGAATCGCAGGTATGCAGGTGCATTACTAGCACCCGATTTGTGCAAGTGAGAGGAGAGGACAAAAATCAATAAGTGCTATTCAAGTCTTACGTGTCCTATCTGCTCGCGCTCCCTTCATTCAGACCACGGTCATTCAGACCACGGCCATTCAGACCAGACACGAGTGCTGCGGGACGGTAACTGTCTGAACACGTGAGGCGAGCAGGTGGCGCCGACCCCGGCGGGAGGCGCCCCAGGCAGTACGCCGCCGGCCGGGGCAGCGGCGTACTGAGGTACAGCAGCACTGGCGGCGCGAGCAGGGGCGGACTCAGGCGCACGCCAGTAGCATCACGATGCAAGTACCTACCCAATACCGAAGTTCTTTATTTTATGCAAGGAATTATCAACTCACTTTTGGTGACAAAGTTACATTTGGCCCATGGTTGTAGAGGACAACGTGCTCGTTTTTTGAGATACATTAATTTGGGGCGGAAGTGCGTTAGCAAATAATTGGGAGGACATGACATCCTTTGTTCTGTCGGAAACCTGGAAATGGATCAGTTGAAGCATCATACTCAGTTTGAAGCTGCTGTTAAACTCATAAATGGTTGCTGACCAACTAGGTAAATATAACTTACAGCGCCGCCACGGAGTAAACCTTTCTATATTTCCCAGAGAGTAGCTCGCATTCCAAGACTCTATGATGTGCTTGCCACAAATAAAACATGTTCCTAGCCCGTATTTCAACTCTGAAATGCAGTTACCCGGTGGGGTTCAATAGGATTGCTGAGAAGATTAGGAGGAATGGTAGATATGTTATGTTAATACTGGGCAGTAGATCATAAGATATGGTAGTTTCCGAGGAAGGAATGGGAGCTCTAATTTTCCAAAGCAGCATATCTGAATGTCACTCATTCCTGCCAATGTAGCCGCGTGATCTATTCATCAGAAAATTTGTTCGTGGAATATGTGACTGCTTGTGCATTGCGTGGAACTGAAAGTGCTGATTTCATTGGTCTAAAAGTCACTTTCCGAGTTGACGTCTACATTAAGATTTTGAGGGACTTTTTAGTGACTATTTACATACGCTTGGCTTTCAATCCGTGCAATCTGTGCGAGCTGGCAAAGTTGAAAATCCGGTCCGGTCCGAACCCATGTTTTGGGGAAAATTTCTAATCCTTTCCAATGCGGTTCGCGGCTTGATCCAATCCTTAAAGTGCTCTAGAATGTACGCTGAGATTCCGCACCGATGATCCATGGGCGGAGGTTAATAGGTTTGCACCATCTCCTCAGCGCCAAAATGGCCGCTCACTGAAAACGTTAACTCATCATATGAAGCCTAAATGACGTCATGTAACCATCAAACTGAGTTTGTGCATCAGTTTTGTTTCTTGGAGCAGTCAAATAAGTAATTCAAGTGCTTAATATAACTTCATGCATCATTCTTATTGATAGCATACGGTAGGACGCAGTAATGGTGATTGCAAATCAATATCGTCATTTTTATCTCTTAGAATAATTTCGTTCTTGTCGGGGTGGTGTGCAGGGTCAAGTTCCCGGCTGTGCCATCCATGACGACGCTACTGCCAGGGAGGATCAAAGAACATAGTCTTTGTGAAATGACCAGGTTTTCCTACGCTTTTGTAATATTCCAGCCAAAAATATTGGGGGCCAGCCAAGCCAACTTTGGGGACAGGGCGGCCCAACTCAACATGGGGGGGGGGGGGGGGGTAGGACCCTAACAAAATAATACAACCGATACCCATATTAGGCATACCCCATTTTGCACAGCTGCTGTCCTAACAAATATGGAGTGCATACGTTTGTGTATGGGTCATGACACTGCATATCTAGATTTTTGAACATCCGTTCTTCTATCATGCAAAAATGTTCAGTCGACTGATACACCCACCGGAAGGTAATATTTCAACATCAGGTCTCTGTAAGGGTAGAGCATTGCTGTGAAGTTCATTTATTTCGTTTTTGAAAAACTGAAATTTGGCCGAATTTATCCACTATGTTGTTGGGACAGCACGTGAGCAAAATTCAATCGCGGATTGGTACGTGTTTTTGGGATTAGCTCAATATATGAAGGATAAATACTAAAGGCCCAGTGATATTTGCATTGCTAGAGTATACTTGCTGACAGGTAGTGCCACAAAGGAAGCAAACGAGAGTTGCTTTTGGGGCAAGATTCAAGCTGGCTGAAACATCCTACTGACATATTTGCCATGCTTCGCTTGGTAGGAAAAGCTGGTACCAGAAGCTTAGAGCTGTTTCAAATCATGGTGCATTCCAATACATGTCTGATGCATTCATTTGAGGATATTTAAAAAATCCCACTGGAAAATTCCCTGAAAAATTCATTAAGATTGCAAATTTTAGGACAATTTTTGCGTTTCAGCTTTGGGAAAAGTTTTGGTAGGTTTGGAGATTTTGTCAGTGGACTATGGCAAACACATCACTGCAATATCAACATCGAGGCCATTTCGTGTCTACTAGGCCAAGCACTTCTGACGGGTTGCTGTCGATGCGTCGTGACACGCGACCACATCGCTATCCCACTAGCAAGAAAAATGGCATGGCACCATTGCGAAACATTTTCGTTCCTTCCGTATCAAATTCCTGTATCGCAGATCTGGCCGAACACAAGACATGTCACTGCAAGCAGACCGCTTTAGCAGCGGCCTGAACACCTCAACACCATCCGCGCTTGGCTAGACGCCCCAAACGCAGTGGTCCGCTGGACTGCGATTTCCTGCATTCTACAAGCAAACGCCGCTCGACGATGTGACATTACGCGTCAACCATTTACGCGCACGGCTGCGTTCATTCAGCGCGAATGACGTCATCTCGATACTGCCCGCAGCGATCGCGGCGGCGTGGCTTCCGCGGCGGGCACAACTCCTGCTTGGCATGCACTGCACGTGCGCGAGACTCGTCACGCCCTGGCCGGGCTCACCTTGGAAGACGTCAGAAGCATCATGGTTGACCTTTCGAGCACCTGCCTGGCCACAGTAATCTGGGCCCGCCGTCTCTCATCCTTCAGGTCACTCTGCCGAGACCCTGCGGGCAGCAGGCGCGCCGGGTTCAGCGAGGTCAGCGGAGTCAGCCGTGGGTCAGGAGTCAGTGACTGGACGGGCAAGGGGACCCTCAGGGGCGAGACCTGCTGACAGTGCAGAAACCTGCCGCGCTGAAAATGTGTGGATCCCACACATTTCTCTGCCCAGGGCAGGCAGGCACATGCACTCAACACATATTTTCAATCATCCTCCCCGAAAGCAGCTAAGTTCAGCGGGCAGGATTGTCGCCCCCCTCCCCACCGTTTGTGGAGACACGAGTCCAAACCCATCTACCGGCCTGCTGACGTCACCACTGCAATTGGAGCGAGAGATTGCACCGCCAGCAATCGTAACATTTACACCCATCGTAAGGCGAGAAGTGTCCGACACGCTACTACCCCGACAGCACGCGAGTCGTATAATAATTCTCCGAGCACCACATAGCCATGTTACGCTGAGCTGTCCGCGCGTGCGCCGCGGGTGGCGACGATAGCGGAGCTCTCGGCAGCCCTCCCGAATTCTCGCCACGTTTCACACCTAATGCCCAGTCCGGAAACACCGGCGGCGTCGGGCGAACGCCACACAAACAGCGCGCTAAAATCCGCCGCTCGCTGGCAGTGGAACACCGCAATTGGGCGTGGTAGACGTGCCGCCCGCAGTGGTATGCTTACAGGTCTGGCGACCAGGGGCGCAGGAACTATGTTCAAGGTGGGCAGAACAAACTCCAAAACGTCAACATGACCCCCTAGTGTTAAAAGTGAGCCTCCTTCAAGCTGGAATGGACCCTTTACGAACAATGATGGGCTCTCCACAGGCCAGAATGGGTCCCATAGGATCGAAATGGGTCCTCTGCAGGACAACATAGGCCTGCCGCAGTCAATAATAGGTCCCTCTTCATTTGGAATCGGCCCCCTACAGTGCGGAATGGAAACACTATGGGTTAGAACGGGCACTCTATAGTCGATAATATGCCGTCTGTAGGACAGAAACGGCCGTCTACAGGCCTGAATGAGTTCCTCTACGGGTCATAGAACGGGCTAATGAGAGGCCAGAATGAGCCCTCTACCGGCCAGAATACGCACTCTACAGCCAGCCATGGGTCCTCTACAACCGCGAAGGGGCCCTGTAGATGATGGACCTTCCACAGTCGGTAACAGGCCTTCCACATATCAGAATGGGCCATCTACAGCCCACAACGGCCCCTACAGGTCAAAATCGGTCCGCCACAGTCAGCAATGGCCCTCTACAGGCCAGAATGCTCTTCAGGCCAGAATGATGGGAGCTACAGCCAATAATGGACCCTCTACAGCTCGTAAGGGCCCTGTACAGACCAAAATGGGCACGCTAATGGCCAGAATGGGCCCTCAAGGGCAGAATGGGCCTTCCACAGACCAGAATGGTCACTTCACACTGAAATATGGGCCTTCTGCAGGTCAGAACGGGTCCTCTGCAGGCTCAGAAGTGCCTTCTTTTGGTCAGAATGGATCCGAAATAGGCCAGAATGGGCCTCGATAGGTCACAATAGACTTGTACAGGCTGACATAGTCTCTTTACAGTTTGGAATAGGCACTTAACATACCAGTGTGAGCCCCCCACAGACCCTCCAAGTTGTGCGGGTAGGGGGCGTGCCCCAGCTTTTAAATGGGGGGCGGGGGAGAGCCGCCCCGCTCTCCACCACCCCCTCCCTGTTTTCCGCGTCCTTGCTGATGACAGAAACGTTGCGTGTTCGAGACACACTGGCGGATGTTTTTCCACCTCTTAACATCCAAGTTGAAAAATAAAAACCGACGTAGGCTTACACCAATATGTCGATCTGTACTTTCAGAAGGTAGTGAACATCTGAAAAATAATAGCGTCGTAGCATAATCAAGTAGCAACGTAAAACAACAACTTAACAGCAGAAAAATAGCAAGATAACATAATGATGGAAGACGAACACGGTGATAGCGCGCGACCCGCTCCGCCGCGCTGGGCAGGCCCACCGCGCGATCCCGGCGATTCCGACCAGGCTGCGCGGCGCCGGTCGATATGGTGGCCGGGCGGCGAACGCGGCGCGGGCCGGGCGCCGCGGCGCGCAGCCGTCGCGGCGGTCACGCGGCCCGCGCTGAGCCGCCGGCACGTGAGAGGCGGGCGCTGCTGATTCAGGGATGCCCCGTCTGGCCCGGCCGCCGCGGGTCACGCTCTCGTCCTCAGGAGGAACGGAGACTGAGCGACGGCAGACCTCAGCAGATTGGTGGGCGAAGCGAATGTAACGGTCGGCCCGAGAGCTTGTCTCCATCAGTGACGTGTTGACAGTGGATGCATAAACGCAAACGTTACATAGCACAGCTCAAAAATATACATGCAATGCAAAAGTCAGCTCTAACTTTGAAACTCTGAAAGCCCATCTGCAGCATCATACATCAGAATATGACGCCATATGCAATAAATGGACCATAAAAACATGCAATGAAATCCCGTGCCACTCATCCTATGAGATGGTGTGGGCTCATGCTATTTGTGTTACTTGCACTGGTGTCTTTTCTGAACATAGCCGGAGAGGAGGCAAACCAGTGCTTACGATAACGTGTTGCATCATCACAACCAAAAATCCAGCTTTTAAAGCATATTGCACGGAAGGCTCGACAGCTTATTATAAGGCTAGGAAAACCTAGTCATCGCTGTTCGCGTTGAAGCCCTTTAAGAACAATTTGCAAAGAAAACGATTGACAGTGAATTGCTCGCCGCCAACAGTATGCATAATGAACCGTTTCTGAGAATAGTTATACACTTCAAACTGTGTTACGTCATTGCAAATAAAGGCGAACTGACCCCTCCTTCATCTTCGCTCCTCTCTGTCCGCCCAGTCCCCCCCCCCCTCCCCTCCGTTCCCCCGCCGACTCCCGTGCGACTCGGGTGCGGCGGCAGTCGCACCCCGCCACCGCTCGCCGCGCCACATTTCCTCGGCCGAAATGATGTATGCTAAGCCGCACAATGCTTCATTTCGGAGCTGGCCGTTTACGCCGCGTCGTCGACTGCGAATGTATTCACGATGCCAGCGGGCACGCTGCCGAGAACACGGCGGCCAGCCGGGGACGCGGAGCACGAGGAGGTGCAGCGTGGGCGTGCTGCAGGACGTGCTGAAGTAACACGTGACGTGTAGTGCTGACCATAGGCCTCACAAAGTGAGCTTCTCTTCGCCGATAGCGAAGCATGACGTCAGTGTCGAGCTTCAGACGTCATGATTCGGTCGCTGATTTATAGTTCCTGGGGTCATCATTTTCGAATTATGAGCAAGGGCTTTGCAGATCACAGCAAAACGTTCAGTGCACATGCATGGACAGTGAAACGTCTAAATTGAAAAACGACCCAGAAAGTTACATTTGATGTCTTAAGCAATGATATGCTGTTAGCAGGAGCGGCGCCACAGAGGGAGGGACAGCGGGAGACGTCTCCCTCTATCGTGGGACAGGGAGGGCAGTCCCTCTTTCCCAACAGCCTTCTTGCGGGAAAAATAAATATTATTCACATACAAACTTCCACTAACGAGCCATATTCCCAATTTTCATCAAAATACAGGTATCTCCCACCGGTAGGATTAGGCATTGCTACAAAGCTAGTGCGACTACAAAAGACCGCTCGGCGATATTCCCCTATACCGATCCTGCACATTCACTACCCCTTTCATGCCTAGATTTTAAAACCGGATTAGGAGGTGATTAGATCATGACGTGCCTGCAGCCTAGGAATATAAGTCATTCTCAAGGGGGAAAGTGAAAACCAATATTGAAAATATTGATTTTAAGTGCACGTTCTTCTATGCAATATTCCTTATCACAGGTACTTTTCGTGCGCTTTCCACCAATGCCCACGCCGCGCTATCACCACCTCTGCTGTCATGTTTTTTCCCAGAAGCTTTAGAAACAAATATAGGAGCCAGGCTGTTTTTTGTAAGTTTTTTGTTTACTGCGCACCTTGAGTCATTTAAGTGCCTATAAGTACCTCTCATGATAGCGTCAGGATATCATGCGTTCGTCATTCATTTTCATGATCGAGGGATCACAATTTGCGTAATCTTGAGGAGTTGTGCTGCTGAACTTATATTCTAATCCACTACTATCATGTCTTCGAACAACCGTCTTTCAAATAGCTTTGGTGTGATAGAGTTTCGATTTGAAATGAAGACAATTGGAATGAAGATCTCAGCCAGGCTCAGCCGGAGGACGTCCCGTCCCCCCCCCCCCCCCCTGTAGTACCATCGGTTTTCTACTCGGGGGAAATTTTGAAATTCGAACCGTCACTGCGCTGGCCTAGATTAGACTGAGGTCAAAGTCTAGAAGTTTGAACTCTCATAACTTGCTCAGGTAAGAACATGTTAGGTGAATATTGCTGAAGCGTTCCGTTACGTGCTTCATCTGCATTTACTGCTTGTGTTGAATCTTTGTGCGTGTGTGTGTGTGTGTGTGTCATTGGGGCTTTACGACGCACCCAGCTGCTAAGGCTATATGGCGTCGCCTGCCTCTCACCCTGGCAGGAAGGGCGGGCACCGCGGGGAATCGAACCCCGTACCTCTGGTTTCCCAGATGCGCAGTGGTTAACGCAGACGCGTTAACCACTACACTACCGGCACCCCTGTGTTTAATCTTTAAACATTATATGGTCTTATTACCTGTAGCGGAATGGCTTTCAATGAGCATTTCGGCAGCGTCTGGGTGAACCGGCAGAAATCAAACCAAGAGCATTAGTCCTAAGTGACTGTGTCCGTATTTTCTGCATGACTGCCAATCAGACAAAAGCTTAATACACTTTCCATCTTCCGGCATTTTTTCATCTGGATCCCCTGAGGATTTGGTCACTGGCCCGAGGAAATGGTACAGAGAATTTCGCCGGAATTACGTCGTTTAATTTTTACGGCGCACTAAAAAATATTTAATGGGCTACAAACATAGGCGTAGGAGCGTTTCAAAAAGTAGGGGGAGGCAGGCTCAGGGTGCACTTTAGGAACTTTTTTCTGTAAAGCGAGCCCGATGACCAGGCGGGGGGGGGGGGGGGGTAGGGACGGCGGTTGTTACTGCTCTTTATTCAAATGTTATGTCTGCTATGCAAGATCTGGTTCTAGAGCTGTTTCTCACTGGTGCACAGTCTTGCCTATTCGACACATCTGTGATAATAACCAATTTCATAATCAATCAATCATCTGTCTTGATTTACAATGGCTAGTTGACTCTTCCTAAACCGATAGAATTCAGTAGCCTTGTCAAATTGTTTTGTCTGGGTTCAAAAGACAATGAGGAGATTGTGAAGGTAGATTGTAGATCGACATGTTTGACCCAAATTTGAAAATGAAAATTTAATTGCAGATAGAGTGATCAGCAATGTGTATTAACATGGCCAAGCCATGTTTGTCTGAAAATGTTCACCATTCAGTCAGAATCGATTAGTGATACAATTTATGTAACGCGTTTTTTAACATGCGCGCTCGCAACTCTTAGCAACAAAACCGCGATACCAGACGCTGCAGTCTCCTTAGCCCGCGGAGCGTTAGCCCAGTAGCTAATATTTAGCCGTGGCCCACGGGTGGGCGAAAACGATGACGCTTCTGAAATGATTACTTTTAAACACTGTAATCGACTTGTAATACAAGTTATGTGATGCAATTTTGAGCATGCGCACTCGAAAATCTTAGAAACACAACCCTCGACCCCAGGCGTTGCAGTCTCCGTAGGCCGCGCAGCGTCGATCTAGCAGCTAATATCAAGTTGTGGCCAACGTGTGGATGAAAATGACGACGCTTCTGGAAACATCCTTGAACGCTTCATGACATCCGGTCTTACATTTAGAAGGCAGTCTGAGCGCATATTTCACGTGTGCAATTTTTAGAATGATGAAAAGGACGGATTGACCCTTAAAGCACCGCGGAGTGGGGCTGGAATCTGGTGGTTGAGCTGAAGGGTGAAGGTAAAATCTCCATTTTGCGTGTTTTTGCAGCTATTTATCTATCCAGAATATAGATTAACACGGCGCCCGCCGTCTGGTGGCACTTGCAATGACCGAAACTTTTCGGTTTTACGGACGTTGCAACCCAGATCATCCTTGGTCTTGCTCTCGAGGTTGCGGGCGGGCATGTTCAAGTATTTTGATGTGATTTGTTTCAAAAATGCGTTCTGAAAAAACGAGCGTTCTCAGGCAAACATGGCATAGCCTTCCTCGTTTTTAAAGCTCATTACGTCCCACCCTATTCAACAATAAAAAGACACCCATTTACTCATCAATAATAAGACCCCTTTTTCCTTGTGGGCAAGGGGCCTCCCGAGTAGAACACCAGGGGTACATTACCATTTCCGGACAAGAGCTGAAGGGCAATTCCGTTCCATCGCAAAGTGTCTTCTGGCTATTATTCTGGTGGCACGGGAGATCTCCTGGTCAATCCGGAGGCCATTAAAATGATATGTCATATCACGTTGTTCCCATCCCTGACACGGGAGGTCTTCTGACCCGTGTATTTGGCTCTGAATCAGCATAGGAACCCCCATTGACGCAACAACATCCCTGATTACTGCAGGTGGTCCGATGGTTGTCACACAGACTCCAGTTCCGTGTTTTTCTGTGTTCTTCAGAGATATTGATTTATCACTGACTGTAGATTGTAGATGAAATGAGGTTCCTAATTCGTATGAACATGGCTAACCGATGTTCGTCTTAAAATGTTTAATATCCTGTCAGAGTTGATCACTGATAAGAAAACTACGTAATATGGTCTCGAACACGCAAGCTCGCAAGTCATAGCAATAACAGCTTCGACGCCCGGCGTTGCAGTCTCCAAGCCGTGTGGCGTAGGCCTTGCGGCTGTAACACTAAGCGATGGCCAATGAGCAAGCGAAAAAGATGACGCATCTTAAGGGAGGTGGCGGGTGAACTAGGTAAATCGGCATGCATTTTAAACGTAGTGCGAAGGTAATCCAAATGCAACCTTAACCTGAAAAGTGGCGGGGGGGGGGGTTAGTTAACATTGCTGCCCCCCACCTTGAGAAGTGGGAGGGGGACATGGCCCTCTGGCCTCCCTGTTCCTACGCCCATGGTTACAAATGACTCCCACGAGTCGGCAAGGATTTTCAATGCGTACTGTACATGAAAACTCACTTGAAATGTGCTTTGCCTGAAGTCCATTGTGTTTCAACATGTGACGTTTGTCCCGGAAGAGACACAATTTCACCCATTCCTGCCTTATTTTCCAGCTCCTAACACTTGTATCCAGGTTACGCAGAAGCTGTGCACACCAGCCTTTCGGAGACGCCCAGGCGCAGCGGCACCAGAGAAGGGAGGAGGAACCGCGTTTTCCCGTTTGCCAAAGGGCAAATGTAGTCCTCGGTGGCCATATTTACACCTCTCCCCCTGTCCGTTCCCCGCAACGTGAGGCGCAGCGCGCTGGAACTCATCCCTGAAGTCACCACACTTGACCGTCTTCCCATGACCCTGCCGGCGAGTTCACCCACAGTTGAATGCGCCCTCGGTCTGCGGCAGGAACTTATAGCTTGCTTTGCTTTATGGCGACGCAGAGGAAGGATCGACCCAGCAGCAGCATATTATGTGCTCGCCTTCGCCTGAACCAAATGCATCCAGTTCATGCGTCGCTTCCGCCAGTCCAAACGCATCAAATCAAAGAACGTTTGGCTGCGCCCAGGACCGCACAAGACGAGGTGTTGGTGGACATCTGAAAGGAGCATGTAAACCTTGCGATGAGGATCACATAGTTCAGCGTGGGACAACATGTCATTGGGATGCCTCCTTGACACCGTAATAAAAGGCCACATTCACTCTCTGTTAGGGTTTTTCCATAAACAGGAAACAAATTTGGAATTAATCAACCAAGCCAAAGGGTAGATGCGGGGTAAAAATACATGAAACATCACCCTGCTAGATTTTGTCACAGTACATACATACGTTTACACGCTTACGCATTATATGGCGAACTGATTTAGATGCTAATAAATCAAATAACATACACTGTGCTGAGAAGAAACTACGACACTGGGATAATATGATCTCCGCCGGCACGGAGTAACGGACGTCCGCTCACGTTGGGAGGACGAGGGGATTATAGCCATTAGGATTATGTCTTTCCAATCAACGCCAAAAAGGATTAGTGTTAAATTTCCAGAAAGCTCTGAGTCTCATCCCCTACCCCCCCCCCCCCTCCCCCGGTTCCCGCGCCCATGACCAACGGTGGTGTACCTCAAGATATATGGGGAGTTTCCATAACACAGATCATTTACGGCACCGCCGATTATTAAGCCCATGATTCTTCGGCCATTTCCTTTTATTGATGTGTCGTGATGGTATTATGACCGCGTCCCCCTCCCTGTCAAAAATCGGTGGCGCCGCCCCTCACTTTCGGCCTAAGAGACGCACGCACGCCACAGGAATCATGTCGTTGTCTCCTAAATGTAATTCTCAATTAAGAAAATAATTCAACTTGCGCCCGAGTTGAAATCATGTTCTGCTTACCAGTAAGATGAGCAAACTCCACCATTTCTTGGCCGAACTGGCTAAAGGCTTTGACGAACTCGGTGAAGTTTGTAACGCTCTCCAGACGGGTGAGTGTGCGGACCGCCTGCGAACAGAGAGTCTCCTGTCAGATGAGCACAACCCATACACGGAGGTGCAAGAGGTGTAGACGGTTGCCCCACTGACGTGGGGCAACCATCTAAACCCCATGTCAGTGGGGCAACCGTCTAAGCGTCAACATTTCCATTCCATTTTTTAACTTTGGCACCATGACCAGATCACGGGTCAACACAAATTTGTAGCATTAGTGTAAAAAGTCATCAGGTGCTGAACGGTGCCTCCGTGTCAAAGTCAGTGTCCCGAACGTTATAAAACCAGCGTAGTGCGTTCCTACCCCCGGAGAGCCTCGAAACTCTACTCTGATTGGGCACGGCTGCGCATTGTCCTGAAGCGTATCAAGCCAGTCCTCAAGCCTTAAATAATGGCTATTCCAACAAAACCATCGGCATGAAAGCACCAACTTCATGTTGCGATATCAAACAAGAACAAGCAAATTCCAACGTCAAGTCAATGAGATCATACTGTTCTATCGGAATCAAATTTCTGATGGCTATTGGACAGACGAGCGTGTCTTGGGGAAAATAGTACCAAATCGGTCAACCAGGAAGACAGGATAACACTGATCATGTCTTAGTCGCCTAACTCATCATGAAAAATAGCCTTACAGCCAAATCTGACGTTTTAAAACGCACCAATGTAGTTTGCAAGTTTTGTTGCGACTTAAGAGATTGGAGAATCCTGAAGCGGTCAAACCATGTTGCCAGTATCACTACACTCTCAAGACGGTTAATCACGCTCTTGGCTAACGTCGCCCCAAAAGAACATATCGGGCAGGAGCACCGCCGGAACAGCACCTAAAACGACCTCACTGGGAACACTGCCATCAACACGATCAAATCAAATAGAAATAACCTTAATTTTCTGTAGGCTGTCATAATCAAAACATCGTTCCAAGAGCTCAACAAGCAAGCTTAGCTCTCAGTCACCTTTCACTTTATTTATGCATGACTGGCGTAATCATCATAGACGGTGTGCATCATTGTCAGCACGTGTTTTACCGTTTGAGTCATTATGCTTTCTTAAGTGTCAACAATCCTATTTATATTTTGTACAATTTGGCGACCAACGTTGATTTCGTCATACTTAGTTTGTAGTTTGTGCATGTACACACACACCTTGCATAGTGCCTCAACCAATCCTCCAGCACAATCTCCATGATGTCGGGCATAATTTACAGACACCGTTGAATAATGTGTAGCACGAACGGGAGCATTCGTATAACGCATTGGACTTCAGTGTCCATCATTCAGCCAGCTATGAACCGAGCTGAGCATATCTGCAACATATGGGACACTTGGACGGCGTGATCAAATTTATGGGAATGTTTTACCTAAGACGTGACTATCTCATGAAGTCTAAAAAAGCCCGAAGAGGAGGAACAGTGCAGCATCACGGAACATATACATTTTGGATGCGTAAACATAGCTTACCTGAAATAATTCAATTTCGGAAAACTAGTATTTTCCTTCATCTAAAATACTTTTAGTATTGGTATGAAGCATTTCATTCAATTGTCGAACAGTGCCACGGTTCTCTAGTTTCATGGTTTGTGAGCGGATATGTAATGAAAGGTCACTTATTCATAACTTGACACATTTCTTCACTTACTTTCCCTTTTCATGTCTCACTCACATTCCACAAAAACACCGCATGTCGCGCCCGCAGATGATAGTTGAAGCGAAGTTTCATTGCAGCATTCAATTCACAGCAGAAATGTCCTCATGACCTTCGCTTCTTCCCGAGTTTGGCATAACAGCTATGGTGGCCGGGTCCAGTCCTCATCTGCTCCCTTTAAATTCCGCCATCCCAAAGCTACTGAACCCAGCTGACGTCAGTCGACAAAGCCAACAGAAGCCGCCGGACCTACAGTCCTCCTAACCCGCCTGTCAGCGTCGAACGCCGCCACCGTCGTCGCCGGCGCGAGCGGCCAGGCGCCGTTACGACCACCGGCTGCCGGCCGCTGCCCGGCCGTACCGCCGGATGGAAACGGCCGAGACCCGCCGCGGGACGCCGTGGGGTCTTGCCGTTCAGGGGCGGGGCGCCGCTTAGTCACCGGCGGCGGCCTGAAGCGGTGCATCCGGCGCCGGCGTTGTAAAGGAGCTGTCGGCCGCCCTGTCAGCCGTGCTGTTGGCGGAGAGGAACCGCCGGAGGCGCTGTCGAGGGGACTGTCGATGGCGCTGTCAGCAGCCCCGTCGATGAGGAACCGCCGGAGGCGCTGTCGAAGGGACTGGCGGCGGCGCTGTCAGCAGCCGTGTCGATGAGGAACTGCCGGAGGCGCTGTCGAAGGGACTGGCGGCGGCGCTGTCAGCAGCCGTGTCGATGAGGAACGGTCGGAGGCGCTGTCGAAGGGACTGGCGGCGGCGCTGTCAGCAGCCGTGTCGATGAGGAACTGCCGGAGGCGCTGTCGAAGGGACTATCGACGGCGCTGTCAGCAGCCGTGTCGATGAGGAACCGCCGGAGGCGCTGTCGAAGGGACTATCGACGGCGCTGTCAGCAGCCGTGTCGATGAGGAACTGCCGGAGGCGCTGTCGAAGGGACTGGCGGCGGCGCTGTCAGCAGCCGTGTCGATGAGGAACGGTCGGAGGGGCTGTCGGGGAGATCGGCGGCGGCGTTGTCAGCAGCTCTATCGACGAGGGTCTACCAGAGGCTTTGGTGTAGGGGCTGTCGGTGGTGCTGTTGAGAGAATGCCGGAGTTACTCCAAAAGCGTTTTCAAGTCACTCAGCGAGTGCCCAAATCAAAGCTTCCGTTAGTGGAACTGTCCGAGTCACTGTCGGTGGAAGTGTACGAGTCACTGTCGACGGGACGGTACGAGTCACTGCCGGCAGGGGTGACCGAGTCACTGTTAGTGGGAGTGTCCGGGTCACCGTCGGTGGGAGTGGCCGAGTCACTGTCGGCGAGAGTGTGCCGAGTCACTCTCGGCGGGGATTGTTCGAGTCGCTTTCGGCGGCTGCACAGCTGCCAGCAATAAGACCTCGCTGACACTGACGGGTCTGCCCGTCACTTGTCCGGAGAGCGCTCCAGTCGGACGCCAGAGCAGCGATGCCCCTCTTCCGCGGCCGGAAAACGCGACATCGCGCCTGGCTGGCGGCGGCGCCCAGACGCAAATCGGTCCGCCGGAAGCCGCCACTTCCGGGCCGGTGCGGCGACTGCCATCGGCGGCGGGCCCGCTCGGCGAGTCAGCCCGCCGCCGATGGCCCTCAGGGCAGATCGACGGAGCGCGGAGGCTCGACGACCCTCGAGCGAGCCGGGTGGATCGGCGAGGATGCCGGCCGGCCGCCATCGCGGCTGCCGGAGGACACGATGTGAGGGGGGGAGGGGGGTCACCGGCCGAAGATAGATGGAGGCGGTGTCGCCGGAAAAAGAATAATGGCTGAGGATTCACCAGCTACGCGGAATGAGAGAGGAGACCTCACGGGAGGGAAAGGAGCGACGGATGAATTTCCAGGGGAGAGGGAGGCGGGTGTAAATTATCAGCCATGTGCAAGACGAAAGGAGACGTCCCCAGTGAAAAGGCCCCCAGAGGTAAGATATCTAGGTGCAAGAAATATTGTCAGCACACCACATGAGCACACCAGAAGATATCGCCAGGGAGTATAGCTGTATATGAGCCACTATCACCACCAAGCAAGCACCAGCTTGCCATGAACGTAAGATACAGCAAACGAGTCAACCAGAAAGAAAATATCTGAAGGACCAAAAGAAGCTCCTCGTGCATTACGGATTGCATTCAGAACATCTGTATGACCTTCAACCTTCAGTGACCGCCTTTATGCTGGCCGTAGACACACTGCCTCTCCGCCAGGTCTGTGCCCTCCACTGCATCCTGTCTCTCGGCGAGGCCCGTGCCCTCCACCACACCCCACCTCTCCGCCAGGTTCGTGCCCTCCACTACATCCTGTCTCTCTGCGAGGCCCGTGCCCTCCACCGCACCCCGTTCCCCGCCGTGGCGTGACGGAGCGGCGCCGCCGGCTCGCCGAGTCTCACCTGTGGCGCGGTATTTACGCCGGGCCAGGCCGCGCCCCGCCCTCACCACGGGCCACTGCCGCGCGTCCGCCCCGTTGGACGGCTGCGATGAATGCGCCAGTTCAGCGGGCCGCGAGGCGGGCGCGCGTCGATTACGGCGAACGATATGGCCTCACAGTGGATCAGCTGATCGTTACTGCCTGCGGTCACGCTCGGTAAGAGTGCTTTTACGGCCGTGTGGTGGTGGGGATCGCGGAGCTTCAGGTGGTGGGAGCGGCGTGGTGCCCGCCAGAGTAGGTAGCGATGCGGGGCTATGGCGGAAGGCTGGCCGGCTGCAGAAACTGTAGGCGAACGTGCCGTGGTTCCTCAAGCGATTCGTTTTAGAGGCGTTCATAATGCATGTACCTTTGAGTGATGGTTGAAATACAGAGGAGTAGTCGCGCATAACTTGTGTTGTAAATGCTGGCCATGGCTTCCATGCAGCATGACTGACTGTGAAAATATGAGTGCGCTATGCAACGCGATGACGAGACCATCTTTGGCAGGTAAATGCTTCCGCCACTTGCCTGAAAAGCACAATGATATGTGCTGTGGCCAGTCGTGTGCAGATGCTCTATCTAGTTCCACACAGCTTTGCCACCGCTGACATCCATTGTCACCTATTGTACGGAATCATAAAGTTTATTCAACATCGCTGACTGTAGTGTGGACACCAATGCCAATTCCTTGTAAGTTATCTGCACTTTCATACAGTCCAGTCTCTCTGTCCGCAGGGCAAAGGATAGAAGTGCACCACAGGACGAAAGGGCTGAAAATCTACATGACAGTGGCTGACCGCTTCGTGGTGCCTGACGAGCCGCTGTTAAACAGGCGACGAATGTCCGCCGAGTGTGTCAAGTGTCAGCCGTAGCTGGGACTGCCGGCTGACAGCCGCCGGGCCGGCGGGCCGCCCTGTTGACAACCATCGCCGCCAGCCGCGCCGCGTCGCCAAATCTCCCACGAGAAGCGCGCTATCGAACGGCCCGGCAACCCATCCCGCCGGGCTGTCTGCGACGGTGTCGACGGACGGTGTCGACGGACGCAGCTGCGCCCGTGCTTTTACAGCTCGCGGCGCGCCGCTGCTGGCCGGTAATTACCCGTCGGCGGTGGGACTGGCCGCTGTCGGCAACTTGACTGTCAGCGGAGGGACGGGCCCCTGTCGGCGGGGGGACTGGCCGCTGTCGGCAAGGTGGCTGGCCGCTGTCGGCAGGGGGACTGGCCCCTGTCGGCGGGGGTCTGGCCTCTGTCGGCGGAGGGGCTGGCCGCTGCCGGCGGAGGGACTGGCCCCTGTCGGCGGGGGTCTGGCCTCTGTCGGCGGAGGGACTGGCCACTGTCGGCAGGGGAACTGGCCGCTGTCGGCAGGAGGACTGGCCCCTGTCGGCGGGGAGACTGGCCACTGCCGGCAGGGAGACTGGCCGCTGCCGGCAGCGGGACTGGTCGCTGTCGGTAGCGGGACAGGCCATTGTCGGCAGCGGTACTGGCCACTGTCGGCAGCGGTACTGGCCATTGTCGGCAGCGGTGCTGGCCACTGTCGGCAGCGCGACCGTTTGGCGCCCGCCGCCGACGCATCGAACCTCCTCAATTCCGCCGCAAATTCGATCACGCTGCGCTGTCCAAGCACGACACTCGACAAACGAGTTCGTCGAAGCGGGGGTGCCGCCGAGACCGCCATCAGGCTCGTAACGATCTAAGAGTGGCACCGCTGCGTGGGATGGCAGACCGCGGCACGTGCATCTGGCATACGTGATGAGTATGCCGGTGTCTTTGCCGGTGTGTGGGTAATGGACACTATGATTAATACTCACGCTAGGTAGAGTCACCAACTTGAACTCATACCTCAGGCTTGGTATGCTGCCATTACCAGGTACGAAAAGTACAGTCAGATTTTAGGTAAATCTGGCACCTTGCAGGTACCCTACTAATAATGCGAATTAACGTTGCCGTGGTTTCTGAATTGGCATTATTCTTAGAGTATCCCAAAATATTAAAAGCACATGCGTTAAAGTTTTAGGCATTGGTATTGCAGGGTACACCGCGCGCCACAGTCAAAGTAAATTAAATGCATAAAATGGAAATATCGGAAACTTTACAAAGGCTTACAATTACGCAGCCTATCAATAATTGTTCAAGAAGACTTCGTTTGCAGGGATGATCCGTAGCGCATATCGCTGCTATTTAATGCTTTAAAACGACTGCAACATTTTATAAGTTCCAACAGGGTTTGGACGATAAGAGCTGAAAGTGACTCTGATCGATTACTTGCATGCTCCGAATGGTTCTCGGCTTCGCTCTTCTGCAGGCGGGATGGACTCCAGTTTACCGGAATGAGGAAGTTGAGCAGAAAAGTACCGAGTTCTTGTCCGTGAGGTGTAGTGTGGTGAACGTGCACTGCCCCCTTAAAACCGTATCTCCCCGTCATCATTCTCGCCGTCCATGGCTTTAGGATAGCGCTGGCCTGCGACAGCTGATGCGGAAGCGCGATGGCGCGTATCGAGTATGGTGCGAATATCGGGCCATAACACCACTTAACACAAACACAACGATCTATCGCCTTACCAGGCCATCGGAACCGCACGAAAGGCCGCTTTTCGAGGTCGAGGTGTACTTTCTTGTGCGATGCCATGCCATTTGTGCTGGTTTCTAGCGAGGCGTTAAAAAACTTTTCTGAGCAGCCAGCGAAAAGAGATGGGGGGGGGGGGGGGGGAGGCACTGATGACCTGTTCACGGGAAAGGTTGACGACTTCAACCAGCACTTCGCTTCCGTCGGCCCACCCATCGCTGCTAAGTGGCAGGGGCAGACTTGGCGGTTCCTTCCTCCACCAAGGCCACTATGTGTGACCATTGCCAGTCTGAGCGTGCGTCCTACATCTTTGCCCGAACTATTGAGGGCTATGAACGAACTGCCATCATCCAGGGTAGTGGGCTTGATCGCGTTTCCCTTGCATGCCTTGGGTAAATGTTTCCCTGTTATTGGACCACATTTTTTTCATCTCATTAACAACTCTTTCGCCTCTCATATTTTTCTCGATCCCTGACAGGTTGTCTTCGTCACCCTTTTTCACAAATCTGGCCTTCGTGCCATCGGTAGTAATTTCAGACTTATATCAATTTTGTCTGTGCTATCCAAAATATGTGAAAGTCTTGTGCTGTCGGCTGACACCTGTCGTCCCACCCCGATACCCACGATCTTGTAGCTCTATCACAGTATGCTTACAGACCTTGCCACTCAGCACGTTGTCCTCTCATTGGCGACGTTGAGTGGGTAGTACGCCGGATTGACGCTGAGCACATTGTCGCCGTCATTGATCTAATTCATGCTTTTGACAGTGTCGACCACGGCGTCTTTCTGACAAAGCTGCAGTGGTACAGCATTGATCCGAAGTCGGTTGGAGAGTTACGCTGCTGGTCGGCAGCAGGTGGTAACAGCCAGTTGTCTCTCTCTCCCTCTCTGGTGTTGACTCAAGTTGTCCCTCCTTGGTGTGTCATACGCTCTTCGGTACCTTCTTGAACAACCTTCCATCTCATCTCCCTCACGGACGACTCGTGTCGTCGTGTCGTGTAATGATTCTGCATACCGAAACGAAATTGACAAAGGTTTCAAACATCTTTCATTAACAGTTTTATTTGCAGTGAGCGGTTATGCTCAGCTGAATACAAGAGGCCCTCCTTTAGCTTTACAATAACAACATACTTTGGTGGTGATGCTCCGTGGATGGAAAAAATTGCATGCTTTTATCCAATGTCACTTTTGTGTGTTTCATTCACGCATTCAATTTACATTTGTTGATGGAAAATATGCCTTCTCTCCAATGTTCTCCCTAAGAACCTGAGGCTTTGGAGCCGTTGATTTCGCGGGCCCAAGCTAGTGTTTAGGACGGTGTTTGACGTCTCTATTATGCCGCGTGTACAGTTGCTGCATTTTTATAGTTTGAAATGTAATTAATAAAGGGAACGTCGAAGCAGTATCAAGCCCTTATTGTATGCCTGCTATATGAACATATTACGTCATATACACACATTATATATATATATATATATATATATATATGCACACACACACATACATACATATATATATGAAAAAATATAAATTTATACATATATATATATATATATATATATATATATATATATATATATATATATATATATATATGAAAAACAGTTCGTGCAAAATCATCGATGTACTCGTCCATTTGTACATTCTTACGTTTCGAGATCTTTTCTCATCATCGGAAAAATATGGCTGGAGAAAAAAACGAGTTGTGAGCTTTTAAGCATACAAATTGTGTACCACTATTTTCAGAACATTCTTTCATACCCAGAAGACGATGGAGGTAAGACCAAATTGAAACGACACAAAATCCTATTGTTACTTTCGCACATATTGAATGTACCCACATAAAACTGCGCGACCAGCCAGTCAAGACAGGCGGTTTTACCAAAGGGTATGGAGAGCAGCTAGTGAACCACGAGCTGGAGCGGAGGAAGAAGGCGCGTGATATCCTTAACATAAAGACAACGGCTTTAGGAAAGTAGTTGCGGGTATGTTGCCCTGCACATGAACTAAAATTTTAAGTGTTTGACAAACTTGACGTGACAGAAGGTGATTCTGGACGCCTTATAAAAATATAATTTTGAGAAAGCTCTCGAAGCTCCATGGCAAACGCAGAGTATTACCGGAAACTGCAGATAGTTACGTCAAATTACCACACCACAACCTCATCGAAAAAAGAAGAGTTACTTAATTTTGGGCATAATTGCCATATTTTGACGAAATGCGAAAACCTTAAGAAGAAAGTAGAACTAGAAACGTTTTCCAGGAGATCATGAAAGTGGGAAAAGATGACAGGGTTGTCGTGAACAAGGATCAAAAGAACAGCTTATGAGGGGAAAGCACGAAAAAGCGTGGAAATGACTGGAGCGAGACATTTGCATTAGCACTCGGGACGGCGGCAAAGAAACTTCGAGAAAAGGAGGATATCATTATTCGGCGAGCGAACACATCATCGCTTTGCGCAATACTTGACGAGAATAAATATTATGAGAAGTTGAAAGATATCTTGAACGACGACAAGAAATTCCATCGCATCACAAAAGAGCCAGCAGACAAAACTCAGGACTAAGCTTAACAAAATGATTACTGCTTCCAGTGCCGTTGTTGATAGCATACACTTGCCTAGTATAACCGGTGAATTTGCGCCTGTTTCTGCTCACAGGTCTGTAAAAATTCACAAAAATGGCAATCCATTCGTCCAATAATGTCGCAGATCTTTCAGCAACTTATAAAATTCAAACCATCTAGATGATCTTTTGTTCTCATATCCTTTCATATCCTATGGCTTATCGTCAAAGGATCAGTTTACTGGTATCGTGCAATGTTGCGCACCCGAGGGCCTGATAGCAACTCTGACTGTTGAAAATCTATTAACAAAAGTATCAAATTAAACAATAAGCCACTTGTTGGAGTGATTCGTAAATAATTGAACACGAGTATAAAGATAAAAACATTCGGCTAGTTTTATTTCTTGCAGAAATCTGCAAATGCCGTGTTCATTGTTCCTTTCTCTACGTTCATGGATCATTGGCAAATCCACCCCGTTGCCATCAGTCTTCTGCACAGCAATCACTGTCAGCTGTCTCGCGTGCCGACACCGCTGTTATAACATCGCCTGGTCGATTTATACACCTCGATCTATGGTGGACCTTGGCATCCAGTTAGGGTGGGAGTATATCTCATTCTCATTGTTTGCCTCGACCCGCTGCCCATCGACATGATTTGCTTGAGCCCCGCCGCCGCCGAGCCGGGCCGTGATGTACGCTCACCTTGTCCTTGGAGAGAATGAGCTGCTTGACGACCACCGTGTCGGCCAGCAGGAGCACCTTCGTGACGCTGGAGAGGAGGCAACGCGCCGCGCGGACTAGCGTGCCCTTGTCTGTGGTCTTCGACTCGGCCTGCAGCGCGCACAGCTTCTCGATCGCCGCTCCTGCAAGATCCCGACGCCATTAGAGCGAGACCGTCAGATCCCGACGCCATCAGAGTGAGACCGTCAGATCTCGACGCCATCAGAGCGAGACCGTCAGATCCCGACGCCATCAGAGCGAACCCGACAGATCCCGACGCCATCAGAGCGAGACCGTCAGATCCCGACGCCATCAGAGTGAGACCGTCAAATCCCGACGCCATCAGAGCGAGACCGTCAGGCATCGCGTGACAGAGGCGCGGCCCGTCATGCAAGGATATCTCGTAAAAAAACCCTAACACGTCCCATGTTACACGGCCGCTCCGGCTACAGCCGCCTGGCTGCTGCACAGAGGCGGCGCCAGGCCCTGGAGTAGCGGGGTGGCCGTGCCGTGCACGGAGCGCATCAATCCCAGACCCCGCGCGGTGGCTGAGAAGAAGCGGATGTATTGGGCTGGACGAGGGAGACGACGGGGCATCTGTGCCGGACAGCGCGAGGAGCAGCGACGACATCGCATCGACAGTGACGCGGACCGACGGTGCTGCAGTACGACCTCACCGCCACTTGGACGCCACCTCCGCCCGGCGTACGACCGCGCCCTCATATAGGTGCTGCCCGCGCCTCCTGAGTGCGCCCGTGGCAACACCGGCGAACAGAGGCAGGGTGACGCCACTCGACCCCCTGTACGTCCCGGTGCTCAGCTCAGGATTCGACACCTGAACGTCCGCTCGCTAATCAGCAAGCTGGATGAAAATAAACATGCTCCTGCTCCTGAGCTCCTGAGCAACTGCTCCTGGGAACGCGCAGACTCCAGTGCCATCTGTCTCGACTTTTGTCATCTGACTGGATCCAGGTGAATGCCGCCGCTGACGTCAACGCGTGCCTGCGGCACTTCATGACTGTGTGGGACGCTGTGGTGAGCCGCCGCTGCCCAGTTAGAAGGAAGCGCGTCTCCAAACCGCACTACCCCTGGTTGACCGACGACCGGGCTCTGCAAGAGCTCACGTTCGAGCGAGACAGCGTGCGCGACGTCTGGCTGTGTCTGTGCCCGCCGGAGAGCGGGTCCGACTTTGCGCCACTTCGCAGTCAGGTGAAGAGCCGTCTAGTTGCAGCAAGGCGCCAGTTCCTTTGCGGCGAGACTGACCGCCACGGCCCCTGGCCTACCTTCAGAAGGTTTGCCATGGCAGCCTCGACGCCGGCCGAGGCCGCGTCTGCAGTCAGTCCCGAGAAAGCCGAGGTGACGGCGGACAAGCTCATCCGCCACTTCGCTGCCGTGGGGCCCCGCGTCGCGGCCAGCCTGCGGAGCGCAGCGAGTGCCGGTTCCAAAAACCCCAGACTGCTCACCGTGTGCGTCTCTGGCTTCTCACTCCGATCAGCGACGCTACCAGAGCTGTTATTGTGTTCAGCGTCTGGGTACATCGCAGGCAGTACGCCTGGATGAGGTCCGACTCCAAGCTGTGCGGGAACATTTTTTTCAGTCGCCGGTCCTCATCTTTTAAAACTCACCAACTTGTCTCTCGTCATCAAAATTCGTCCAGATAGCTGGAAGACGCATGTGTGGTACCAAAATGACCCGGCCGTCTCATCCAATAATAAGCCCGTATCTCCACTAAGTGCGCTCTCTAAGATCTTAAAAAGGGTAGCTTGAACACAGCTGACGGAACATTTGAACGTGACAGCGCTACTCCATCCATCCTAGTATGCTTTTAGGGCGCGCAGCTCAACCGAGGATGCCGGACTCGCCGCAGTGGAACGCCAGGTCACCGACACCGACGACCGTCCTGTGTCATCGGTAACGACGATCGATTTGCCAAAGGCGCTCGACAGCGTCGACCACAACGTTCTCCTCACCAAAGTGTCTCGGTATGGGGTTACCGATGTGGGATGCTTTAAAAGCTGTTTGGGTGGTCAAGAGTAGGTGGTGCGTGGAGGGTGGTTCACTCTCTTCATGTCATGCGGTGCACCCCAAGGCTCGATCATCGGTCCAGTTTTGTTCATTTTGTTTACCAACAATCTTCTTGACTCATGGCTGCTTCATCTCTTACGCACGTGAACTGCACAATCCCTGATGGACCGGGTCTCGCTGACCTCAAACCAAGTTGGAAAGTACGATGCGTGAGCTTCAGCACTAGTTCAGTGCCAACTCTTTTCGAATGAACGAAGCAAGAATTGTTTTTATGCTCGTTGAGTCAAAACAAAATTTAAGAACTCAGCTGACTTCCTCTTTAAAGTAAACGGCTCGACTATGCATGCCTCAAGCAGCATCACAATTATCGACGACATAGTTGGCTCCGGTCTGTCCTGGGGTGCCCATATCTCGAGCGTTGTGAAAAAATGCAATGACATCCTCATTTATCTGCACAAATTCCGCCGCTACTTTACTTTAGATCTTCTCAATATCATCATCCAGACGTGCGTATTCCCTCATATCACGTACTGCTTGTGCGCATGGGGTAGGGCGAACAAGAGTGAAACACGCAAAATTTTAAAAAAAACTTTGCTGCGAGAAAAATCATCGACTCCAAAAAACACCATCATATAACTCTGGTTCTAAATTCCATTGGATAGCCAAAGATCGCGGTCATGGTGGCGATCACACCACGCCGTGATCAAATTGTTTAGGGCGCTAAAGAAGGCAAGCACGCCTCGGCAACTCCGCTCGCTTTTTGCCCCGCTAGCCGCTGTCTCGAATCGTGAATCGCGCGCCTCAGACAGAGGTAGCCTACACCTGCGCAGACACCGACTAACCACCACATTGAGGGCGTTCTCGTATCGAGCCGCAGCAGCTTGGAACCGCCTGCCAGTCGTACGTCCCCCGTGCCTCAACACTGAGCACGCTCAAGATCCTAAACGCGATGTGACTTTGACCACTGACAACTGATCTGATCCGGCGCGTAGTGCATTGGTAGGTCTGTTTTGACTCGACTATTTTTCGTATCATTTTTTATACCTATTGTGTGTGCCTTTTCATATTGCGCCTGTGTGGCCTGAAACCGTAACAGCCACCACGTGGATGGTTTCCAATATACTGATTCCGATACTAATACACCACACGCAAACATAGTGCTACGACATCGTTCGCCTCATCACGGCAGCCGTCCGTGTAGGGCAGACTCGTCCGTTTTCTTACAACGGTTGCTCTCGCAATGGCCGTCGCCGTCCGGTAGCCTGTGGAGTCCAGCTGCGACGGCTACGGGAGGGCCCAGCGTGATCGATGGACGCTATAGCAGTCCGGAATCCAAACTGGCTGATTAAGAAAATCGTGGCCAATTTCGACAGCATGCACACATCGGACCTGCGAGCAGGAACTAGTGTTTAGGGCTAATCGGAAAACTGAGCGGGCCTAATGGCGGTGTTATCTGACTCTGACGACATAAGCGGTCAAAATTGTTCAATATTGGTCTGGAAACAATGCGACGAAGTCCAAAACAAGCCGCCAGTGCCAGCCCACAACATTTCCCGCATGACAACGACTGTCGGTGCTGAGTTAGTCGATACATGAAGTGTGGACATGCCTTGAAGGTGCACAGTGAAAGCGTGCTGTCTGCCAACTAGCCCGAGAACAGTCCACAACCGCCAGAGTGATGCATGGTTTGTGTTCATGTTCTGCAGCTGTCAGCCAAGTGTCTAGTCCATCCTTTATGTGCCTGTCCCGCAGCTGCCAGCCTAGTGTCTGGATTGTCCTTTATGTGTCTGTTCCGCAGCTGCCATTGTCCTTTATGTGTCAGTTCTGTGGTGTCTGGTCCGTCCTCCGCGCGCCGCCCTGCAGCCGCCGGCGTGGTGTCTGGTCCGTCCTCCACGCGCCGCCCTGCAGCCGCCGGCGTGGTGTCTGGTCCGTCCTCCACGCGCCGCCCTGCAGCCGCCGGCGTGGTGTCTGGTCCGTCCTCTTCGCGCCGCCCTGCAGCCGCCGGCGTGGCGTCTGGTCCGTCCTCCACGCGCCGCCCTGCAGCCGCCGGCGTGGTGTCTGGTCCGTCCTCTTCGCGCCGCCCTGCAGCCGCCGGCGTGGCGTCTGGTCCGTCCTCCACGCGCCGCCCTGCAGCCGCCGGCGTGGTGTCTGGTCCGTCCTCTTCGCGCCGCCCTGCAGCCGCCGGCGTGGCGTCTGGTCCGTCCTCCACGCGCCGCCCTGCAGCCGCCGGCGTGGCGTCTGGTCCGTCCTCCACGCGCCGCCCTGCAGCCGCCGGCGTGGCGCCCGCCCGCGCCGTCCCCGGATCTGGGCCGGCGCTATCGACTGGTCCCTGGCTGGCGGTCCGGCCCGCGATCCCCCGCGGCTGTTGTCGTTTCGAAGAATGGCGCAAATGAAGCACATAACTCTGGCTGCTGGCGCGCTGTCCACCCTGCGGCTCTCTCCACCTCCGCTGCTCTAGCTCCCCCTCCCCGCTCTTCGTCCCATCACCTCGCTCCCCACTCTGTGTCCCAAACTCCGTTCCCCATCCGTTCCCTCTCTTTCTCTTTCCTATACCCGTCCTCTCACGGTCTCCCTCCTCGCTCACGACAATTCTCAGGTGAACTCTCTATCCATCAATGTTTTGTTGGTGACGATGAATGTTACGACCCGCCGTGCTATCCTACCCCAGAAACGGAGCACTGGGGACGCGGCAAACGGAGGGGGGGGGGGACGGCCCCTTACACCCGCGTATTGCTTTAATTTTTTACTATGGATGGCTTCTGGCAGGAAGCTCAAGACCGGCGTGCACGATTGCACGTGCTGCACACTCAAGCGCTTCGCCTCTCTCTCTCTCTCTCTCTCTCTCTCTCTCTCTCTCTCTCTCTCTCTCTCTCTCTCTCTCTCTCTCTCTCTCCTCTCTCTCTCGCTCTCTCTTTCTCTCACGAAATTCCTGGCTTCGCCCCTCCCTAGCTCTACCGACCGGCTAATTTATGCCTTCAAACGGCTTCTTGATGTCGCGACCGTTTTCATTAATCATCGTTGGCTAGGCCAGCGAAGTAACAGCGGTCAAAGCGGAGGGATGCGGGAGATCGCCCTTGCCCGGCTCCACACCAATTCGGCCTCCAGTGAACGCGCTGTG